GGTCTCACCAAGTTGCCCAGGCTGGTCTCAAACCCGCAGGCTCAGGCAATCCACTCGCCTCCGCCTCCCAAAGTGCTGGGATTATAGGCTGAGCCACCAAGCCCAGCCAGTAAAACTCTTAAGTAGTGGCTAAGGGCACAAGTGCTATAACCAGACAGCCTGGATTCAAGTATCAGCTTCTCCACTTCCTCACAGTCTGATGACTTGGTGTAGGTTACTTAACACCATGCCTCAGCTTCCTTATATGAAACATGGGGATAATAATAATAGTGCCTTCCTCACAGGGAAGTTCTGAAGCTAACTGGATGAGTATTTATTAAACACATATAATAGTGCCTGATAATAATATTTTATGAAATTTCTAAAAGTAATTTGGCAGTACTTCATTAGTAAAAATGGAGCCTCCTGGCTGGGCGTAGTGGCTCACACCTGTAATCCTAGCATTTTGGGAGGCTGAGGTGAGAGGATTGCTTGAGCCCAGGGGTTCGAGACCAGCCTGGGCAACTGGTCAAGACCTAGTCTCTACAATAAATAAAAAAATTAGTCAGGCATGGTGGAAGGCTAAGGCAGGAGGATTGCCTGAGCCCAGCAGGTCAAGGCTGCAGTAGCCATGAGCATGCCACTGCACTCCAGCCTAGGTGACAGAATGAGACTCCAACTCCAAAACATAAAAAAAAAAAGGAGCCTCCTTCCCACCCAAAAAGGGAGCCCCACATCCAGGATAAAAACCAAGCTTGAATAGTCTAAGTACTTCCCTACTCTGGGCCTCATTTGGAGTTTGGCTTAAGTATGAGACCCAGTGAAGTGGCAGACCAAGCTCCTACTAGCTTGTGAGAGCAGACTGTTGTTATGCTTTAGGAATTTTTCAAGATAGAACAACTATTGGTAACCTAAAATTGGCTGGGCATGGTGGCTCACACCTGTAATCCCAGTACTTTGGGAGGCAGAAGTGAGAGGATTGCCTGAGCCCAGGGGTTCAAGACCAGCCTGAGCAATTTGGGTATGGTGGCCCACATTTATAGTCCCAGCTACTTGGAAGGCTGAGATGGAAGGACCACTTGAGCCCAGCAGGTTGAGGCTGCAGTAGCCATGAGAGGGCCTTTGCACTCCAGCCTGGGCAACAGACTGAGACTCTGAATCAAAAAAAAAAAAAAAAAGTTACTTACACCATAAAAATGAGTCAAGTGCTACCAATTTGGCCTTCCCCACCAAACTGCCCCCCCACCAGGGGTGTTTGGTTGGGGGTTATTTTTCACCAATACCTCAGTGATGAGATCGTCCCTCAGCTGACACATACACAGCTAGCCGTCTTGCTTCTTCCCATCCCTCTAATTACTTCCCAGGTCTTATCTTCTCTAACCTGTGTGATTGCATCAGCATCCTGACTGCTCTCCTTATCTTCGACTTGATCTTGCCTTCACTCTGTAAACTGTCCTGGATAACTGAGTAGCTCTCCTGTTTAGAAACCCTTCTGTGAGCCAGGTGTGGTGGCACAAGCCTCTAATCCCAGCGACTCGGGAGGTTGAGCCAGGAGGATCACTTGAGCCCAGGACTTCGACACCATCCAGGCCTCACCTCCCAACACTGTCAATAGCAGTTGTGGAGAGAGAATCACAGGTCTCCAGGGACACACAGGGCCCGGATCAGACAGTCAGTCTCAGCACAACCAGCCCCACACACTTAGGCACGCACCAAGAGAGAAGCAAGGCACAACACACACACAGCACATATGGGGCAACCGTCGACCTCCCAGGACGTCAGTCATTCTCTATTTTTTTGTTTTTTGAGTCGAAGTCTCACTCCATCGCCCAGGCTGGAGTGCAGTGGCACACTCATGGCCATCCCAGCGTCGACCTGCCTGGGCTCTGGCGGTCCTTCTGCCTCAGTCTCCCAAGCAGCCGGAACTACAGGTGCACGCTACCACACCCGGTTAATTTTTTTAATTGTAGAGTAGAGGCAAGGTCTCGCCAAGTGGCCAGTACTGGTCTTGAACCCACGGGCTCAGGCAATCCACTTGCCTCGGCCTCCCAAAGTGCTGGGATTATAGGCTCAGCTGCCAAGGCGGGCCATTGGTCATTCTCAGAGACAGGGGAGTGGATAGTGCTGATGAAGGTACTGGTGTCTCACAGAGCTAGGATGGAATTCCAGCTACGAGTGCTTGGTTGTGTGACTTTAGCCAAGTCCCTCTTTACACTGGGGCTCAGTTTTTTTATCTTTCAAGGGGGACGGCCTTGATTTAGCAAGATGGCTTCAAGGATTAAATGAGAATACCAGCAGATTAAGTGCAAAGTCTCTGTGCCGTGCCTGGTACAGAGTAGGTGTTTAGTAAATGTTAGCTGAGGCTATTATCACACCTCCAGACATTCTCCACACCCAGTGGCACCTGGGACTCAATGCACCCTCTCCCTGTCTGAACCTTGACACGAAAGGGCTTGGTGAGTGGATGGAACACAGACAGAAACAGGCAGCTGTTTTCCAGCTTTTATGAAAATTAATAACATTAATAGCTCACAGACACACACGTACACACACATCGCTATGTACACAGTCATTAAGTTATTAATTAGGCTCTGTAAAAAAACGTTTCTACATTAGTGTTCTGGGCGAGGCCCGATCAGTCCTTGGCATATTCACAGTAGCAGCCCCAGGGCTCAGCCCCACGGGTGGGCAGAGGAGGCAGGAGGCTGCAGAGCAGCTGGCTCCACAGCGGGCACAGAAAGTGTCCTGGGCCACTTCCTCCGGAGTCTTCAGTTCCCTTCCTGACACCTGCAGACCAGCTGCTCAGCAAGTGGGCAAACAGGTCCTGATCCCTCGAGTGCTTGGAGACACAGGCCTTCAGCATGGTGGCTTCGGGCAACGCAGAGGGCCCTAGAGGATGCTAGCCAGCTCTGTGGAATCTGTGTCAGAGCAGCCCGAGCTGCTGGCTTCTTCCCTGCGAGAGCCGGGGGAGATGGGTTGGAGGACACGTCCTTGCCCCTCCCCCACCCCGCCTCCCTCCCTCCTTCCTCACGGGATGTTGGCCCTGCAGTGTTAGCCAGCTGTTGGACGGGTGTCAACCACAGGACATACAGTTTGCTCTCCTGCTCTCAGCACAGAAACTGCTAGTTGCTCTATTTACTGTCCTTGCTGCACACAGCACACCACAAACCCTAGAACTCTGACCTTGGCTGGCATGACTCACTCCACCAAGCCCTCTGGTCTCCTGAAAGGCGGGGTTCAGGCCATGCCCGAGGTCTTGCATACCAGGAGGGCAGTGAAAAGTGTCTGCTTTGGAGTTGTGAGGCTGGGGCTCAAACCCCAGCCCTACCTCTCATCAGCTGGGCCAGGCACTCTGCCTGATTCAACCTCAGCTTCCTCATCTGTGGAGTGGGAATCACCAGATTCTGACACCCAGGGTCATTGGAGGACTAGAGACAATCATGAAGACACAAGTCCTTGAGGGCAGAGCTTCGCTTTTGTTCACTACAGTAATGCCAGGCACATAGTAGGCATCTAACACATATTTGTTGAATGAACACATGTAAAACCACTCAACACAGTGCCTGGCACATAGCTACCAGCTAGAGCTGTCAAGAGAAGATCAATCTGGACTTGGCCACAGAAGGCACAAGTTGAAGGCTTAGGCTGAATAACACCCCCTCCACCATGCCATCCCCTCCCCGCTCTCACCTCAGAGCCTGCAGGGCCTTCTTATTTTGCCGCCGCTTCTCCTCATCAATGGGGTACAGCTTGAAGAGCAGGAGGCCCAGGAGGATGAGGACTATGGGAGCCATGGTCACCAGCATCTTCAGTGTAAACTTGACACGTGCCGGCTGAGAGCAGCCACGGGTCTGGTACCCAGCAAAGCTGTGGCACCCAGTGGGCAAGAGAGCAGTGAGGATGAGGCCCCCAGGGCCTGGCCCTGCCCAGCCTGCCCAGCCCTGCCCCAGGTCCTCGTCTCACTCACTCAAGACTGAGGGTGGAGATGCCCAGCGAGATGCCAGAGGCAAACTTGGTGAAGAACACATAGAAGGAGAAGAAGATGGGCTCGGTTCCGTGGGTGTGAGGCTGCTTCAGGTGGAAGTCGTCAATCACGTCAGGCAGCATGGACCTGCGCAGAGTGGCAGCCATCTTGGGAACCCATCTAGCAACCCCAGGCCCCCACTAGCCCCAGGGCGCCTCTCGTCAATGAAAAGAGATGGCCCTCTGGGAGCCTGCAGCCCCAGAGGCAGGCAGCTCGTGAAGGGATGACACCTTCCCACAAACAAGAAAAGAAGGCCCCTTCCTTCCTCTGAGATGACATAGTTCCACTCCAGGTGCTCAGCTTGGCGAGTGGAACACAGGCCAGACTTTAGCCCCATTCCCCGTCCCCCGATTATGTGTTCTTGCAAAGCTCACAGCCTGTACAACCATACAGGGCAGACCTACCCCACCCCCAACCTGGGCACTCCCCCCCACCCCAGAATGGCCTGTGGAAGGAGGAGCCCCACAGAACTTTCCCCAAGAAGCTTCAGAGTGTGGGAAGATACCAGGTGGGCCTGTATCTACCTACCAGGGGAGTAAGAAGGCAGCTGCCACACTGATGCCGGCTGCCACGGCTACCACGTACGTAACAATCAGGTTACTCTCCATGAGGGCCACCAAGATGAGAAATGGCACTGCTGACTACGGAAAGGGTGCAGGAAGATGGGTCAGCTGGGAGGCTCCCATCAGTAACCCCCAGCTCAACGCAGGCCCTCTCCTCTCAGCCCCACTCACTGAGATCCCAATGTATACGGCTGTCTTCTTGCCAAACCGGGTTAGGAACCACTGCCAGATGGGAATGGTGAACGTGGCTGAGAGCTGTGGATGGACAAATGGGCTTAGATCCACAGGACCTCTCCTGCCCTTCCCAGGACCCCAAAGGTGCTCCCAGCCCTGCCCAAAGCAGCCAAACAACATCACCTGGGCTGCAAAAGGAATTTGGCAGGCACCTTTGACAGCTCCGCAGGGGAGCTGACAGGTGGTCTTGGTCGTCTCATCTCCTGCCTTCTCATACCTCTGAGCACAAAGTTCTTGCCATCCATACCTTTGCTTTTATTGTACTGTCTACTGAAACATCCAATCACAAACTCTTTCTTTCACAGTCCTACTTAGACAAAGTCCAGCCAAATATTCTGGGAAGCCTTCCTCATCTCTTCATGACCTTGGGCCAGTCTGAGAAATACCCTCTGACTATCCAAAGAACCATCCCACTGCCCGTGCCACTTCAGCCCAGGCTGCCCGCCCACGTTCGGGTCCAACACACACCATGATGGCCAGGAGTAGATTCTGGAATTCGTTGCGGAAGCCCAAGGTGTAGGTGCAGAACAAGGCGAAGTTCCCCTCCACCAGCTGGGGGATGGGGCAGGGTGGGGGAAGGAAATGCAAGGAAGGAGGTGATGTTGGGGTTGACCCTTCCCAAAACATCCCCCATGCTCCAGAGACCGCTGCTCACCCTACCCCCACACCACCTCGTCCTTCAAGCTACCCCACTCCCAACACACCTTCTCCCAGGCTGAGTGTTTCAGGGCCCCACTCACCATGAAAGCCAGGGAGGTGAAGAGGAAGCCGGCGATAAGCTTGACGTATGGGCCATGGCTCATGACCAGCCGGAGGCCCCGGAAGAAGGACAGTGGCTCAGCCCGCTGGGCCTCATAGGGTTCTGGGGGTCAGAAGGGACAGTGAGGATGGAGCAGAGGCCCCTCCCAGAGCCTGAGGGCCAGGCAGAAAGACACAGCCACCCTGTGCTGGGGACTGCACACCTTCCAGGGCCCCCTCACCTCTCCGCTCCCGCACGCCCAGGGTCAGGATGACAGCACAGACAACGTAGATGGAGGCGATGACCCCTGCTGCCAGCAGGTATGCATTTTGCTATAAAGGTGGTGAAGGCAACATACAGAGTCAGTCAGTCTGATCTCATCCCAGTAGCCCCACTTCTAGCATCCCACTCAATGATCTTGGGCCAGTCCCTTCTCCTCTAGAGCCCCGTCTCCATCTATAAGATGGGAGAATCACCCTGGGCCTGCTGTTGCTTCCCAAGGCTGGGCAAAGCTCAGATCAACATGCTAAGAAGTCAGGCTGCAGAGTCTGAAAGCCCACAGTTCAAATCTTTCCAAATCTCTGCAATTCACCAGCTCTATCACCATGGACAAAATGACTCAAGCTCTCTAAGCTTCAGTTTCTTTCTCTGCAAGGTGGGTACATTGGGCTTATTAATAGTTATGTATGTCAAATGCCCAACATTCAGTAAATACTCGCTATTACTGCTATTGTTAGGATCACTGCAAATCACCTCTGCTTACCCCACCCCATCCCGCCTGCCTCAAGCTTTGTCACACCCTCAGTCCTCTGCCTACCCCACTCCCATCACACCCTCCTCTCTGGCTGAGCATGTCAGGCCCCCTGACACGAAATGTTCTTTGTCTCCCCAAAGCCCTGCCCTGCCCAAGGCCTCACCGTTTCTCTGAGTGAGATGATGCCATGTGTGCGATTGACACTTCCCAAGGCCACTGCAGGGCCATTGGGGTCCTGGAGACAAGGTGTGTTTGCTTGGCCCACGATTTGCCCCTGGATCGCTGTACCCAGCACTGTGCCCAACACCTCCACGGTCATCCCTGGGCAGAGAAAAGGAGGTCTTTTGGAGGGGCCTCGCGGTCTGTGGCCCAGGGAAGGTCAGGTGGATGGAAAGCAGCTCTAGCTCCAGGCCAAGGTGAGAACAGGTGGCAGAGCAAATGGCACCTTGGCCTAAACCCATGGCCTTGCTCTGTGTGACCTGCATGTCTCTGGGTCTCACCTGAGCAATAAAGGGTTTATCTTTTTTTACTTTTTGATTTGGAATCTCACTCTGTCACCCAGGCTGGAGTGCAGTGGCACGCTTACAGCCATGGCAGCCTTGACCTGCTGAGCTCAGGGCATCCTTCCACCTCAGCCTTCCAAGTAGCTGGAACTACAGGCATGTGCTACCACACCCAGCTAATTTTTTGATTTTTTTATTGTAAAGATGAGATCTCGCCAAGTTGCCCAGGCTATTCTCGAACCCATGGGCTCAGGCAATCCCACCTCAACCTCCCAAAGTGCTAGGATTACAGGCTTGAGCCACTGGGCCTGGCCTTTTTTTTTCTCCTTTTTGAGACTGGGTCTCACCCTGTTGCCCAGGCTGGAGTACAGCGGTGGTGCTATCATGGCTCACCGCTGCCTCAACCTTCTGGCCTCAAGTGATCCTCCTGAGTAGCTGGGACTACAGGCACGCATCACCACGCCCAGCTAATTTTTTTTTTATTTTTCGTAGAGATGAGTTCTTGCTAGTTGCTCAGGCTGGTCTCAAACTCCCAGTCTCAAATGATTCTCCCACAGTGGCCTCCCAAAGTGCTGGGATTACAGGCGTGAGCCACCACGCCCAGCCCTGAGCTATCTTTAAGATGGCTTCATACCCACACTCCAGAGCAGAGCAGAGAGCTGGGACCAAAAGGGAAGCAGTGTGGCAGGAGGGTCCCTGGTGGGTGGGATCAGGCGGGCCGAGGGGAAGACTCACGATAGGCAGTGGCAGAATCCCGCTCACTCTGCTCTGTGCTGATGAACATGGTGAGCGCTGAGTAGGGAACGTGGAAACACTGGCATGGAAGAGAGGCCCTTGGCAGGTCAGACAGATGCAGCTTTGGGCACCAACCCTGGAGGCTCCAGGGATTGCCCTCAACCCCACCCCAGAGATACCCGGCGGGGGTGCCCACACTTACCGTGACCAGTGTTTCAAAGAGGCAATAGAAAAGCAGGTACCACAGAGTCTGGCCCTGTTGGAAGTCAGGCACGAACCAGATGAGGAAGTAGGCGACGATGGCCAGGGGCGTAGAGAAGATTATCCTGAGGAAGGGGAGGATCTGAGTGGAGGCTGGATGCCAGGACCTCAAGAACCAGGCCCGGCCTACTGCTCTGCTCCACAGGGTCCCCGTGGGGAAGGAAGTGTCTCCTCCCGAATCCATCCCCTCCAGGGCCTCTGGGAAGGGGCTGACGGCCAAGCCGTGAAGGGAAGACTGGAACTGGGTCCCTGGACTGAAATCCTGTATGTGGATCATGAGGTCAGACCCTGAGTTTCATTCACATCTTGCCAGGAGCTAGGGCTCCAAAGGCAGCGGCTTCCTACGGGCTGTGGGAGCTGAGAATGGGGGCCAAGACTTCAGGTAGCAGGACAAGGAGGCAGGGAGAAGGAGCCCAAACATTGTGTTCTCACACGTGCACATTCATTAACTGCACACACCCCCCAGGCACACACAGGGAAGCAAGGATGGAGGGCAATACAGGTGAAGGAGAATGCAGGGGCCGTGTGGGAGGACTGGGCTGCTACGGGGACAATGAGGGGGCAAGCATCTTCCTCCATATGAATTCTGTGCTATCACAAGGGGTTAGACCTCAGGACAGACCAACTCATGACACCAGTACAAAAAGCAGCAGGATACAGTGGTTAAGAGAACGGCCTTTCAAAGCCAGGCATGGTGGCTCATGCCTGTAATCCTAGCACTTTAGAGGCCAAGGTGAGAGGCTCACTTGAGCCTAGGAGTTCAAGACCAGCCTCGGCAATATAGTAAGATTCTGTCTCTACAAAAAGAAAAAAAATTAGCTGGGTATGGTGGCACGCACCTGTAGTGTTAGCTACTTGGGAGGCTGAGGTGAGAGGCATTTGAGGCTAGGAGGTCGGGGCTGCAGTGAACTGTGATTGTGTCACTGTACTCCAACCTGGGCAACAGAGAGAGAGAGAGAGAGAGAGAGATGCTGCCTCAAAAAAAAAAAAAAAAAAAAAGGGAGAGAGAGAAAGACCTTTCAAGCCATATACTTTGAGATCCAGTTCTGGCTCTACCAATTAACTATAAATAATTCAGTCTTGAGCAAGTTATTTAAATTATCTGAGGCTCATTTCCTCATCTGTAAAATGAGAACAGTCATAGTTATACTCAACATTTACTCAAGAAATATTTATTAAGTGCTAACTGTGTGCTGGGCACTACTCTAATTACTTTGGATATAATCAGTGAATAGAACAGACAAAATATCATTGCCCTTGTGGAATTTACATTCCAGTTGCTGAACAGAAAAAACAAACATAATTCAAAAGTTATATATGTATTATTCAACCTAAAAAAGGAATAAAATTTTGATGCATGCTACAACACAGATGAACTGTGAGGATATGCCAAGTGAAATAAGCCAGACACAAAAGACAGATATTGGGCTGGACACAGTAGCTCACACCTATAAATCCCAGCACTTTGGGAGGCTGAACTGGAGGAATGCTTGAACCCAGGAGTTCAAGACCAGCCTGGGCAACATAGCAAGACCTTGTCTCTACAAAGAATCAAAAAATTATCAGGACATGGGGCACATGCCATAGTCCCAGTACTCAGGAAGCTGAGACTAAAGTGTCACCTGAGCCTAGGAGGTCGAGGCTGTGGCAAGCCATGATCATGCCACTGTACTCCAGCCTGGGTGATGGGGTGAGACTCTGACTCAAAAAAAGTCAAATATTGTATAATTTCACTTATGAAGTACCTGGAGTGGTCAAATTCATAGAGACAGAAAGTTGAATGGTGGTTACCAGGGGCCAGAGGGAAAGGAGAATGGGGAGTTAATATTAATGGGTACAGAGTTTCAGTTTGGAAGATGAAAAAGTTCTAGAGATGCATGGTGGTGATGGTTGTACAACAATGTGAACGTACTGAATGCCACTGAACTGTGCACTTCAAAACAATTATAATGGTGGGGCACAGTGCTGTGTGCCTGTAGTCCCAGTTATTAGGAAGCTGAGGTGAGAGAATCGCTTAAGCCTGGATGTTTGAGTACAGACTGGGGAACACAGTGAGGTCCTGTCTCTTAAAAAAATTTTTAAAAAGCTAATGGCTATAATGGTAAACTTTGTGTTTCATCTATTTTACTACAGTTTTACAAAAAGGTTACAAATGTGTTGGAAGGTGCTATGGAGAAAAAGAAATAAAGTAGGCTACAGGGGATTAGAATAGGGGTACGATTCATAACCAGGTAGGCAGGGCAGGCCTCGGGTGGCATCTGTGCCAAGGCTTGAATGAGAGGAGGGTGTCGGCCTTGCAGACATCTGAGGCAAGAGTGAGCTGGCCAAGGGGGATAGTCAGCGCAAAGGTCCTTAGGCAGGAGCGTTCCAGGCAGGCCTGAGGAACAGCAAGGCCGATAGGGCTGGAGTACAGGGATCAAGGAGGTGGAATTAGGGGATGAGATGGGAGAAGAAATAGAATTACTTAAAGGCCAGTGAAGTGCTTTGGTTCTACTTCATAGGGTTGAAGTAAATTTGGGACTTAAATAAGTTAATACTAAAATGACAAACAGTGCTTGGGAGACTAAGTGCTGTGATGATCACATCAGGGAAGCTTGGCAGGAGAGCTGGCATGTGGTAACTAGTACAGACCGCAGCCAAGACTGCTGTGGAGAGCCCCAGGCTGGGAATCAGACCTCCAGCTCAGTTGGCTGTATCTTGGCCTCCTAGTGGGACCCTGCTGACATCCTACCTCTCACAGGTGGCCTTGGGAACTTCAGGGAAAGTGAATGTCAAAGTCTTCCTGGTTTGAAGGAGAGGATTTAAAGGTAGGGGCTTCCCTGACACCTGAGAGGAAAGAGGGTCACAGGGCTTTTGAACCCTGACAGGCCTAGCCTTTTCCTGTGCTGGAAGGTCTCCAGGCCTGAGGAGGGGCCCAGGTCCTAAATGTGGTAGAGGTGTGAAGACTATACACATGACAGCTCTCAGCTCAGAGCCATCCCATATGTACTCAGACACAGACACCACCAGACACAAGTAGACACCTGCTCAATCAGAAACCAGCCTGAAGGGCCCCCAGCAACTTCCGCAAGCTGGCAGCCACACCTGCCCAGCAAAAGTCCCTCAGATCCTACTCCTCAAAGGGAAGGCCTGCTCAGCTCTCACTCCAGCTCACCTCTAGCCCTCCCAATCCGTGTCTCTCCTCAGAGAACAAGAGTTCCTCGTCAGTCTTCGTCAACATGCCATCCTCTGCTCATAAGCAGCTGAGCAACACAGTGTGACTGAGAGTAACCCGGCCCTCGTGTGGCTGGCACAACAGCTGCCTCCCATTGGCTGGGCCTCATGAGGAGATGCGGTAGCAAAGCCCCGCCTTCCACTGGCTGCCAGGAGGCAGGCACAGAGCCAAGCCTCACGCCTGGCACCCAGGGAGCCCTGAGCTGCCTGCCCAGGTAAGGCAGGCTGTCCTGCCCCCAGCCCTGAAGCCTGGATCAAAGGCTCCAACCTGGGTCTTAGCCAGGGGCTGGCAGGGTTGGGGTGGGTGGGGGGCCTCGTGGGAAAGGAAGCTGTCGGGGGGGCAGGGCCTGTGGGAAGAGCTTTGAAGGCCGGAGACCAGGTATGGGCGCCCCTGGGGCAGGAAGGCGCCCACTTAAGCCTGGATGGGCTGGAGATGAAAGGGGTATACCCCTCCACCCCCTGAAGCAGGATGTCCTGGAGGGAACCAGAGCCCCGGCCTGACAGCTTGTCCTGTGCGTCTCCCTTGCTGTCTGATCTGGGGCTGAGTTTTGGGCCAAGGGAAAAGGTAGCTTATTTCATCCCAGGTGCCAAAGGTTATGGGTCTGTTACCCCATTTCCAGTATTACCCTCTCACCCTGCTCTACCAGGAGCTACCCTGAAGCAGTGCCAAATTATATGTCACTATGCTGTCAGCAGGGTCCCACAAGGAGTCCCAGCTGTAGCAGGCAGGGCCTGAGGTCTATTCCCAGGTTCCTGGTTGTGGCCTATTCTAGTTACCGCATGCCAGTGGAGTTCCTGCTGAGCTTCCCTGATGTAATCATCACAATACTTAGTGTCCCAAGCACTGTTTGACATTTTAGTATCAAATCTATGAAGCAGAATTATGCCAGACACTGCTCTGTGCAATATATATGTAAATGTGCCTGGGCATGGTGGCTCACACCTGTAATCCCAGCCCTTTGGGAGGCCAAGGTAGGAGGATTCCTTGAGCCCAGGAGTTTGAGAACAGCCTAGACAACATAGCAAGACCTCATCTCTACAAAAATAATCAAGAAATTAGCCAGGTGTGGTGGCACAGACCTGTAGTCCCAGCTACTTGGGAGGCTGAGACAGAAGGATCACCTGAACCCAAAAGATGGAGGCTGTGAGCCGTGATCATGGCACTACACTCCAGCCTGGGTGACAGAGTGAAACTCCAGCTCAAAAAAAATATTTTTGTAAATCCTCACCACAATTCTGTGAGATAGGCATAATTATTATCTCCATTTTACAGATGAAGAAACTTGAGGCTCAGAGATGTTAAGTGACTTGTTCAAGGTTGCACAGCTCTAAGCAGTAAGTACTCAAACTTGAGCAGTCTGCCTCCAGAGTGCAACCTCTCAACCACTCTGAAGTACCACTTCTGCTGCCATGGGAAGTGACTCAGTGGGAGAAATCAGAATTCTAGCCTCACCAAAGGAAGAGAGTGGACCTTGGGGAGCAATGGGGCCTGGGCCGGGAGAAGCTGCCCAGCCTAGCACTTTGGCTAGCCCAGGAACGAAATGACTGGGTGTCCCAATGCCCGTGCTCAGGGCAGCTGAGGCCTCAGATGGGGTTTCGACACCCTTGGGCTTTGCGTCATTCCTTCTCCTCACCCCCACTTCACCCGGCCTGTGACAAGCCCGATGGAAGGACCAAGGGGCAGATATGCTGGAAGCTCCGCCTTCTGCCACCTCGTAGGAGCCTCTTCCACTCACCAGGGCATGAGGCGACCCAGGCGAGTCCAGGAAGATTTGCTAATGCAGAAGCCCACCAGGGGGTCTGTGAAGGCATCCCAGGCTCGGCCCACAAACAGGATGATGGAGGCTGAGACAGGGTCCACCTAGGATGGGAAGAGGCAAAAGATAACTCCCTCAGCCTTCTACTCACCTCCACCCTCACTGGCTGGCAAACGCAGAGGCTCCCTCCCTGCCTCAGCCAGGTCCTTGAGACCCTGTGCTGTTTCCACGTGGGCCTTAAACATCTTCACTTGCCTCGTTAATGACAATAGCGTTCGTATTATAACAGTAGCGCTGTGTGCCTCCTCAGAAGCGTTCCCAGATCTATCCCCTTATTTCCTCCCCTCCACTGCCCTAGAAAACATTCCCATCAATTCCAGTGAATCCAGAAACGCTCCCTTCCCTCCCTCTCACAGCCCAAGCCCCTGACCACCTGATATCACAATGAGTCTTCACTAGGTGACCACAGTGGGCATCAGTTTCCTCATCTGTATAATGGGAATTATGATCTCTATTTTACAAGCTAAGCTCTACCTTAGATGTGGAAAAAGTAGTCCATAGATGCATTTTACAAAGTGCTAGGCCACCACCCACTCAAGCTATCCCCCTTCCCTCAAGCCCTCTAGGCTCTAAAGACAGATTCCCTGGACTCCTCTTCAGCCAGCAAAGCCCTGCTAATGCTATTGTTCTGGGAAATAGGTATTCTCTCCCATGCTGTAGTCTCCCCCATCAGATCTCCCTTCCCAGCTGGAACACTCATCACAATGGAGTTTCACACTTTAATTGTGGGTTCCTCATACCTACACCCACCTCAGAGCCCAGCCCATAGGAGTTGCTCGAAAACTGGCTTCTGAATGAAGTCATTTGTCGTTACCTGGGGCTCAGCGTTCCCTACCTGTAAATGGATACAACTAAGACGCCCTGCTTGCCAAGTCAGATGCTACACAGAGAAGCCGGCCAGTGCAGGAGCCCTGGTAGCCATGGCTATTCAGCCTCCCACTCTTCCTTCCAGACAGGGTGAATTCTCGAGATGCCAGCCTGCTGGCCAAGGAGTCTCAGGGCACAGAACTGCTCTGCTTCACCCTAAGTACCCCTCTCAGTCAAAGACCCTGTGTACTGGGGCACTCTAACTTAGCCCAGCACCTGAGGGCCCTTCTGCTCACCTCTGCTTCTCAGGTGAAAGAAGGATTTACCTTGTCCACAAGCCTGGCAATATCTGCCAACTCCTAAGCCAAGCCAGAAGACTGCCTTCAGGCCAGGGACATCACGTGCCAGTCTCTTCTAAGAACCACATCATCAGCATGCCCTGCCCACCTCATGCTACGGCCTACCCCTCCAGGCTACCCCTCTAGGCTCTGTTGCTCTTGCCAGGCAGGGAGGAGTTGCCGGATCGTTCCAGCTAAGACTCCTGGGACAGAAAGACTCTCCTCCTGGACACCTTCCCAAGTCTTCTCATTTCTCATCCACTGTGACTCTGAGAGGCAGCAAAGTAGGGAGTTCTGGTCCCAATTCAAAGGGGGGGAAAACCAAGTAGACCTACCCAGGGGTGCCTAGTCTTTCTCATCTCAGGATGCTAGAGGAACCCTGGAAAGCTCAGGCCACTTACCTGAGCCACGTCCAATAGGTAGATCTGAAGGAAGAAACCCAGGGCACAGCCTGTCACCTGATAGGGGGCCCCTCCAACTGCATAACAAAGCTTGTTGCAAATGGACAACTGTTGTTTCTTCTTCTTTGGTTCCTTCTGGGAAGAAAAGAAAAGGATGAAAAAATGAGGCCCAAGCTTCTGGCCTCTATCCTAGAAGGTTCCAGAGGCAGGAGGAATAACTGTCCTGCCTTGTTCCCACCCAGGAGATTCCACTTTCCACAAGAAAAGAGAAAGGTATTCTCTGTTCTTAGGAAGCTGGAAAAAGGGAATCCACCTCCCTCCCCCAAATCTGAGGAAACCCATCAGTCCACCGTCCCTAAAGAACTCCTCCCAAGGCCTCAGCCACTGCTTTTTTCCCAGTTACTGAAGGGGAACATGCTCTAGCAGTGGACCTGTCCCCACCCGGCACCAACTGCCACAACCTGAAAATCCTCTTGCTGCCAAGAGCTGCCTGAACCCAGCCCAGGCTCCCGCCCTGGCTCAGAGGATAGGATCCACCTGCCTACTGGTAAGAAAACTCTTCTCATTGCTGAAGAGGCCCACCCTAGCTGGCTGCAGGCACAGCTGTTCCTTCCATCTGTCTCAGGGAGTCCCCGGCCCCTGTAGGCAGGCAGAGCTTCAGGCTGACCCAGGAGCTGTCCTACCCTGTGCCTCCCACCTCACACCTTCCATTCCCACCCTCAGCTCCTAGGAGATCCTGGAGAGGGAGGGAAAGGCCTCCAAGCGCAGGACTAGGCCTTCTCTTGGTGAGGCACGAAGGAGGCCGGGGTTGCCCAGGAAAAGTAGAGATTACTCATACACAGTAACAGCGCCATGGCTCACCCGGGCTCCTTCCAAGGAACAGTTAATAAAAGTAATCTCCCAAGTAGATATCTATCGCCTAGGATCCCATCCTGGTGCTGCCTGATTTCATTTGGTCTTTCGTTACGTCCCGGGGGCTGGGGTCGAGAGGTGCCAACGCGGTGCGCGCGAACACCCACGCTCACACAAACGCCTGAGGAATGCGGCTCCTTTAAGAGGGAGCCCTTGTTCTTATGAATGAACTCGAGCGGCCCTGGCTACCGAGTTGAGGCGCGAGAGTAGGGGCTGGGGGTGGG